ATAATAGTTACCAAACGGTGCCTTACTGATAAATGAGAAAACAATTTGAAATTTTGCACAAACTTGAGCAATGATTGGTGAAATTAACTCTTTCAATATTACTTAAAAGATTGTGTTGTTGCCTATAGGTTCCTTTTTGTCTTGTTTTCTTATCTTAATAATAAGCGCAATTCACAATGTTCAAGAGAAAACATGAAGCTTTGAGGAGAGACAGTTTAACATAAGTGCATGTTTTGCAAATGTTAAATTATAACTTAAGTTTGTCAAAACATTCTTTTTTATCCACAAATTTCATAGAATTCACAACTTACCACCTACTTTTCATCTACACATTCTGCGGGATCCGCTACTTATAACTTATAAGCATTACCAAACAAGCACATAATATCAAATTAGCGTTAAAAAAACATGGATTCTAAGACTGGGCGCTAAACATTTATAACGTATGGCTGCAAGTTTGTTGAAAAACAAATATAAACATAGAAGTTTGTTCCGTTTCCGATAGCTTAAATTAGAATCGATGATTTAACATGCACTTCTAGAGGAAATACATGACATTGCTGATTTATATTTTCAGCAAGACAGGACAATGCCGGTTGCAGTGATTTGATAAAAGGTTATTGTCAATACAAAATCACAGAGATAATTACAACCATAGTTCCATTTGAACCCTCACATGGATCTTATGACTATACAACCTTAACATTTTTCATGAATACTAATCTAAAGGATTCTTTTGTACCTTGAGCAGAATCTTGGCATTTTCTGTGGCCAAACATAAATATAAACCAGTTAGTTGATCACAATTTTCACCAAAACAAATCATTTCAATACTGGGCTTGGAGTAATAGAGAAAAGATGAGAACTTCAGCATAGGAGCACTTCTTTTTGTTGTATTCATTCTTTCTATTCATTATTCGGAGGCTAGACTTCAAGCGTGCAAGCCAAGTGGCGACATAATTGGAAAAAAGCCTCCTCCTGGACAATGTAACCAGGAAAATGATTCTGACTGCTGTAAACAGGGGAAGTCGTACCCCACGTACAAATGTTCACCTCCAGTGTCAGGAAGCACTAAGGCAGTTCTTACCATTAATAGTTTCGAAAAGGGTGGAGATGGAGGTGCGCCATCAGAATGTGACAACAAGTACCACTCCGATAACACACCGGTTGTTGCTCTATCAACTGGATGGTACAGTGGAGGGTCAAGGTGCCTTAACAATATCACAATAAGTGCTAATGGCTTAAGTGTAACTGCTAAGGTTGTTGATGAATGTGATTCTACCATGGGATGTGACGACGACCATGACTATCAGCCTCCATGTCCTAATAACATTGTTGATGCCTCCAAGGCTGTCTGGAAAGCCTTAGGAGTGCCTGAAGATAACTGGGGCGACTTGGATATTACTTGGTCTGATGCCTAGTAAAATTATTAGTGTTCTCAATTTATGGTACTGTAAATTGATACTCCATGTATACATACTGAAGCATATTTAGTATTTATTATCTCATTTGTTGGTTTTGGATTCTGTTTGTATAGTTATTTCCTTAGTGCATGAATAAAAATATACTTTTGTATAATAAATTCCCTGTTGTGTTGATAATTCACTGGCATAATTTTTTATAAATTAAACTTTAGGTAGACACTTTGATTCTAGGATTGATCTCCAAATTTGTAAATTATACACTAGTGAAAAGATAAGCTTATCCTCTTGGATTCTTGCTGGCTGCTGCACCATCTGAAGTCGAACTAGTCGAGGTAGATAACAAATTATGGAGAACTTTTTTTATGTAAGATATAAATTATAACAGAAATTCTCCTCTAAGTAATAACATTGTGTAACACTGTGCATTCAAAGCTATCTCAACAATGCTCCCGCATCAGAAAGAACTGTCCAACGCAATATCCAAAGGCACATACAAATGTGTTAGAATACGGTGACTCGAATTCTGTTTGGCTCTACCCGAAAAGCTCGTGGTGCGACATATGTGGTGAAACCAAAATTATGAGAATTTTTAGTGGTGGTAGCGAAGGGATTGGACCGAAACCTATTTTATTATTCTCGCACCCCATATATGGGTGATGTATGTTAGGGTTTTATTGTATCATTTGATGTACCTGTCAAAATGCTAATATTTTGTACTCATCTTTGATATAGTGGATTTCTCCTCTTACGCCGTGATTTTTTCCGTACATAAATGTTCGTAAAATTCCGCAAGTGTACGGATCATGACAAGTAATAAAGTGGATTTAGTAAGTTCGAATATCGTCCCACGGAGTCTGCTATCTACTATAAATTTTTAAATTAACCTAACTTCAATTTAAATTAAAATAGTAACTAATGATCGAATCAAATTATGTTTTCTAAATGAAATTCTAATAAATAAACTAACAAACTATTAATTAAAATAACAAACTCAAATTAAATTTGGAGAAAAGATTATGAGATAAGAAAGTTAGGATTTCCGATTTCACTTAGGTTATTTATCATACATTTATTTCCAATTTATTC